TTACAAAATAAAAGTGTAGCATCTTTAACAAACAGAAAGCCAATCTTAAATGTAGAAATAAGTCATGTATATATGTGCTTGAGCAACACAGAAAAAATATTTTAACATACACATAAAACAGGTATAGAAACAGAGTTAAGAGAAATTAAGCTAACTGTGTAGCTATGGAACAACATTGTTTTCTTAAAAAAAACACTATGAAACTGGAACATTTCAGGAACAGGTTATAACATTAGGATTTTTTTTCCTCTGAGACTTCAAATATATCTTCAAGCTTCATCAATTTTCCATTTGGCAATTAGGAAATATTTCACAAGCTAATCCTAACCCTAACCCTAACCTTTGATTATTTTTAGAAGGAAAAATTAATACCTCCTTCCCTTCAAACAACAGGGGATAATCTTATCTATTTTTCATTTCCTCAGTGTCAAAATCTTAATTCTGCTTTCAAATTACAGCATCTACGAAACCCGGTTTATTTGCATTTCACCCATCTCCTTAGCCTCAACTTTCTTATATTTTCCAGTCCTCCATCTCCTCATAATCACAAACACAGTAATCCCAGTTAAAATGGCCAAGAGAGCCACCACAACCACTGCCACAATGCCAGCTTTCAGGAATTGCATTGAGAATTCTGGGGGGATTTCATCCACGTAGTAAATGAGGACTTCTTCAATATCTAATGGTTCTCCTTTGACTGTGATATTAAATTTATTACTGGAGGCAAAAGGGGAGTCACGTTTGATGTCTTTTTCAAAGTAATAGGCTACATCTGCAATATCCACATCTGTGTAGGACTTCTGCGAAGCGTTCTGTTTCAAGTCAATTTTGATGAATGGGTAATCATATTCAATAGATGGGATGAAGCTTGGACGAAGCATGTACCGGTTCTGAATGAGGCGCAGAAGACTGCTTGCTACTTCAGATTGGGAGAAGGGAGATTCCCGTTCTTTGTGCTTCAGCTCGATGAAAATCCAGCTTGTTCTAACAAGCTCATTGCACCGTAAGTTTTTATCATGCTTATCTGTTCTCCTGACCCCAGCACTGTTCACACACCAACAAGTATCTGTATGATTGCATTGCCTGGCTTTGAAGATGCCATTATTCTCACAGTCTGGGTCATACAGTCCATCATTGTCCAAAAAACCAGTTTCAGGCTTTGGAAACCTCCTGCTGCCTGGGGCATTCATCTCTGCCTTCATAAGCAGACATTTAGATGTTAGAGTTAAACAGTCCACTTTCTGATTTGAACCGAAAGCCTTGCAGATGCAGCTGCCTTGCTCCATGACACAGAGTGTCCGTCTGTTGGTTGGACATGTGCAGTGATCTTCTGCTGATGCAGCCACGACCATCAAAAACAATACAATTCTGAAAGTAGACTCCATAGGTTGGAGAGAATGAGCAGAAGTTGGCTTTAGAAAAGAACAGTTGAATACAGCAGCCTAAAGACAAGATCCATCCACAGCAAGAGCCTCCCAGTTTCTGTGTGGCTGAATGCAACTCTTGCTTCCTCCCTTTGAAAATGAATGTCGGACCCACCCAATCAATTTAGTTAGTGACTCACAAACAAAACAGGTCACAGCAGAGGTCCAGGAGCACTACACCTTCTTCCATTAGGGTGTGGTAGCAACTCTCATTTCTTTCCTCCCACTGAATGAGGAAGCACCTGATGCCAAAAACACAGAAACCAATATAACACTATTATAAGCTCTTTTATGAATTGAAACATACCTGCCTTATGGGCTGAGGTAATAATATGCTAGGCTACATATTAATGAAAAACCATACTGCGTATTGGCTGAGAAATTCTGGGAATCGAAGCCCACACATCTTAAAATTGACGCTAAGGTAGATTAATGTTGACTTCAGGGGTAAGTACACACAATGGACAGAACTGAGGGATGCAGAGAAAAACTGAGTAGCTCTCTTTAACGTTTTTGAAGATTCAGTGGTTCTTGATGGTCAGCTCTTCCGTGATTTAAGATGGATAGCTGAGACATCTCTTTAGCTTTCCACAAAACAGTGATGAGCCTGTGATAGTTCAGAGGAGTACTAAGAGGAATACTTGGTATCTCTTGAGATGACCCAAATGCTCCAGGCAGTCACATTTTCCTCTGATATAAAATGGATTTTTGAGGTCCCCGATAGCAATTTCACACAGTCTATCCTTATTCACTTAAACACGTATACCTCTGGCAAACACTGACATCTGCGAGGATGTCCACCAGGGAACCATGATTGACCAGTGCTTTATGGTTTTGCTTTGGCAGGATATGAGAAATGGCCTTTACAGTCAAATGGTATTTGGTGAAAGTTGCTCCCAGTCACACTGACCTTTTACTTCCTTGTTCTTCTCTGAATCACAGAAGTGCAGCAGTGGGGACAAGGATTTTTTTAAAAAATCTATAGTTATCAAGGGAGGGATATTTAACACAATGAGGAAACCTCCATTTCAGTTCCTTATGCAGAAAATATATTTCCAAGTCCTGTTCCACTATTTTATAGCCTTTGTACTGTGAGACTATCTTCTCTGGTTCGTGTTGCTTGAATTAGTTATTTTCAGAAAGTTTTTAAAAATTGGGTCCCAATGCTTTTTCAAAACAGTATCTTTATTATTTATTAAACAAATTTATATGCCCCCCCAACTCACACATAGATAACTCTTGCATGTCAAAAGAACACCTATATATTCTTAAAAGCTGCAGTACTTGGCTTTCGGTGAGAAGTCTTGTAATATTTTCATGTCAAATATCAAAAAACTTTACTTTGTTCTGTCTCTTTGGCACTTGAGATGTGCTAAAATTTTGTTCTAGTAGCCTTTGAGATACTGCAGACTGAGAATCCTGGAATAAACTAACCTTAACCCTCCACTTTTTACACACAAGAAATGATTAACCAAAGTACTTCAATTACATAGTTCCAGGGGTGTGTATGTGCCCATGTAACTCATTTATAGTAGCAATAAGGAAGAAACTTGTGGTACCTTGAAAAGTAATTAAAGTTGTTATTCTTTAAGTTGCCACAAGACACTTTCTTATTTTAATTATTCAGTTAGTCCCTAGTATTATGTCTGCCAACTGATTTGGGATAACTATCTTTGAAAACAGTGTGTCGTTCCTTTCTGTTCCTCAATGCTTCCCCTATGCTACTCATCAAACACTATTGCTCAAGCCTTTTTTCCTGCAGGTGTTAATTCCTTCCACTATTTTATTACTGCCAAAACATTCCTCAGTGTATCACTAGAAGTACTGGCCAGAAAATTGTGTGGCACTCTGAAAGCATCAGGGATAAAAACAGGCAAAATTTGAAAACAGCTTTCCGAAGCTCTCGATGCATAAAGACTGAATGCCAAGCTGGCTGAAAATTCAACACACTGCAGAGTGCCAGGATGTCACACAGGTTGTGAGAAAGTAAATAACTTTCTTATTTCAGGAAATAACTGAAGCAGAGGAAAGAGGGATAGTTGAAGGACAATGGAAAAGCAGGATAGGATAATTTCCACTTTTATGAGAACCGCCATCACAATTAAGTGGGTATCAGTTCATTTATTATAGAATTTCTGTACATGAAACAGAATATGATCAAGAATACAGGAATTCCTTGACTTACAACCATTCGTTCAAAGTTACACTGAAAAAAGTGACTTATGATCATTTTTCACATTTATGACTGTTGTAGCATCCCCATGGTCATATGTTCAAAATCTGTATGTTTGGCAACTGATTCATATTTATGACGGTCACAGTGTCCTGGGGTCATGTGATCACCCTTTGCGACCTTCTGACAAGCAAAATCAATGGGCAAACCAGACTCACTTAACAACCATGTCACTAACTTAACAACTGCAGTGATTCACTTAACAAACGTGGCAAGAAAAGTAGTAAAATGGGGCAAAACTCACTTAACAAATTCTTTACTTAGCAACATAAATTTTGAGCTCAATTCTGGTCATGGGCCGAGGACTACCCATATAGTGCTGTAGCAGCTAAGTTTTTAACCACAAAGAGCTTAGTTTAAATATATCTCTTCTATCCATTATAGTTGACTGAAACCTTCTCTTACTTACTCAGCTCTCCAACAACATCTGAGTATAACAAACATTATCTTTCATTCCCTAATTACTACAAAGATTAAAAAACATATATTTTCATTACACTGGCTATTTCCCCATTCCCGTAGATTTCCAGGCCACTTACAATTAAAGTCAATCAAATCGAAAACCCAAACTAAATCATACAATGAAACTATTGAGTTAAATCCAACATTGGCCCAGGAAGACAAGATGCACAGGGAAAAAAAATACTGTAAATTAATCCAACTTGAATAAGAACACAACAATCCATCACTGTCAGAAGAAGCTAGCATAATATCCCCGATCAGTCTTGAGATAAAGTGAATTACTTTGGGTTTTTTTAAAAGCATGCATTTCAAAGCTTTACACAAAAGCATCGTAATTAGTATTAATTCATTCTCCCACCTATATAAAACCAGGAAAACTATTCAAGCAGCATGTATCCATAGAGAAAATGTTACTCTACAAATGTTGAGGGAAAGAGGGGAGCACAGAAGTTTGTCACCCACTCACTCAATTTTCCCTATAAACCAGTGGTTCTCAACCTTTCTAATGCCGCGACCCCATAACACAGTTCCCCATGTTGTGGTGACCCCCAACCACTTATACATAACTGGGTGCCAGGGGCGTGGCCAAAGAAAAGGGGGGAAAAATGGCGGACAGCCTTGTTTGGCGACCCCCGTGAAATGGTCGTTCGACCCCAAACGGGGTCCCGACTCACAGGTTGAGAACCACTGCTATAAATCATCAATTACTTTGTATTTGTAAGACAATATATGGACTGTACAGCCTGTAAAGTTTTCCAGCATACATCTTTCTGTAAATGCTTGCTTTAATGTGATACCATGCTAATGTTCCACAGCTGTTCCATTTGCATGACCCTATCTAAGAAAATTGTCTCCATAAGGTTCTCATTGCCTGTTTTTCAGGACAAGGGGTAGAATCTAGAACTGAGATTTATGGCTTGCCATCTATTATCTTGCTCCTCACAAGTTAAACTTCAATAATGAATAAAAAGCAATAAGGAGTGTGAACCATCCTTCACTGGAAAAGACAACTGGTTAGGTAAGTCCTTATTTCCATACATTTACATGGATCAAGGATTGCACCATTTATTTAGCTATGCAATTTATGCCTGCTTCAATCCAGAGGGACTCTAGGAGTTTAAAGATAATTTTTTAAATAACCTTATTTTTTAAAAAAATAACATTAAAGCTCAACTATAGCAGTCATAACACATTACAGTATTACCTTAAGCATTACTTCTAGCACTCATTGTTCCATAGCTAATCCTGAAAGGTCCTCTAGGAAAGCCAAGTTTTTACTATCCTCTGGAAGATCCTAGGAGTAGGGGCAATCCTCACCTCAGGGGGCTGGTCCAGGAAATGGGAATTGCCACAAAAAAATGCTTGCTGCTTCATTTTTAGGCTGCCTTGTAGAGGTACCTTGAGGTAAGACGGGCAGGCTATAAATGTTATCACTCAATCAATCAATAAATCTATGTTTGTGACTTATCATTTTGGTTCTTAGAAACTGTCTTCTTTATTAAATAATGTTGCAGGAGAGGCACATGAGATATTAGTGAGAAGAACACAAACGGCAATCCAGTGTCTCAGATCTCACCTTGAATGCATAAATATAAGTATTAAAAAAATCTGGAATTCATGGAGTCTCCTGGAAACAATTTATGAGACTAATTCAGTAAGTTTATTCTGCATACAGCTTCCTAACATTTTCATTTTTCTCTCCAGAACTTCCTAATCAAAATAAAAAACCATGTTCAAATGAAGACTTTCCTCCATTATTTCTCCATAGTAGATAATAAGATGCTTAACAGTTTAGCCCCTCTCTTGATAAGGAAGTATACCTGAACTTGCTTACAAGTTCTTACAGCATGAGCAACTTGAAAATTTCGGTCACAACTATAGTTGTTCTGGATCACTAATTTCTATCCAGCAGATTGGAACTGAATATCAGTTTCAAATTCAGAATTTTCGCACAGTTCTACCTAACCTTTGCCTAGAATTCAATATTTATGCTTTCTTCCTCCTGCTTTAGGCTTATCTTGCAGTGCTAAATAGAACTATTTAAAGCTCTTCTATACTGCTGGCTAAGAGTTGTTCAACTTTGGCAACTTTAAGACTTGTGGACTTCAGTTCCTAGAATTCCCCAGCCAACCATGCTTAAAATCCACAGATCCTAAAGCTGCCATGTCGGACACTCTCTGGTATAAACCATGTAGACTTAGTGCATACTCACATCAGGTTTCTGAAAATGAACAACACATTAAGAATATTTTTTTGCGTGAGCTGCTCCTATCTGTTACCAGCTTAATTACTTACCCAATAATTCCAGGATGAATCAGCCAAACTTCACCTTCCCTGTTGGCCAAAAGTAACTTTACAATCTGCAATCATATGTTTTTGATCTGTCCTTTTTTAAAGCCGGATGACATTTCCCGGATCTTCTTTAGCAACTAGCACTATATCACCTATCCTATTTTTTCCTTGTCCTCCCTGTTTTCCAGTTTCTCTTCTACGTTAGGTCAGAGCCGTTTAGGTGAGTCATAACATTTTGCTTAATGCTCACATTTACATCCTGTCTCATTCAGCCTTAACTTTTACTCCTGGTAACTGAACTATCTGAGCTGGATCTTTATCCTATCCCTTGAGTTAAAAAACAAAACTAGATTATTATCTAGGTCAGGGGTAGGCAACCTTGGCTCTTTTATGACTCTGGGAGTTGAAGTCCACGAGTCATAAAAGAGCCAAGGTTGCCTATCCCTGATCTAGGTAGAAACTGCGGGGACTGTGTGGAAGAATTTGATGGAAAGCTGTCCACTTTAATAGTTATGAATTGCAAGCATGGAAACCTGCGTCCTTTAGACATTTCACATGATAGTCTGTTGCAGGTAGTCAAGCTGTCCTCTTTAGGTCACGTTATCTATCCCTGATAATGTCCCCTTTCTGGGCAAGCAAATTGTCTTGGAGACGAAAACAAACCCGTCCCCAGCTTTTCAATGGTGGCACCATCCATTTAAAGCATGTACAGGAAAGTTTCTCTCATTCAACTTCTCTTGCTTCTTCTACTCGTTAAAAGCAGTCATGGGAAATCTCTTGACATTGGGTTTCTTACTAGGTCCTCTATGCTTTTTCCATAGACTCCAAGCTTTCATCCAGAAGTGAATAAATGAAGATCTCAGCTTCCGACAGACTGCAGATAATCCCTTCTTTTTATCTCTTCCCTCTAACCCCACAAGAGTGTCTTTATGGAAGAAAAGAGCTATCTCCATGATGCTGTGGTCTGCATGAAAATAACAGAAAAGGCACATGCTGAGATCTTTTAAAACCAGGCCCGAGTTCACTTTTGTCAGACTGACTGCTGGGCAGCTGAATGAGAAGTACATCAATATCATTGCCTATCTTAACAAAATGAAACTCAATATGGGGAAAAATAAGATACTGGTACAGATTAGATGAAGCGTGGTTCAGTAACAGTGAGAGGGAACTTGGACTCCTAGTAAACAATCACTTAAATATGAGCCAGCAGCGTGCTGCAGCTAACAAAAAAATCCTAGGCTGCATTAACAGAGGGATAGAATCAAGATCAGGTAAAGTGTTAGTACTGCTTTATAAGACCTTGGCAAGACCACTCTGGGGCTAGTGCATCCAGTTTTCATCACCACAATATAAAAAATATGGTAAGACTCTGAAAAGAGTGCAGAGAAGAACAACAAAGATGATTAGGGGGCTGGAGGCTAAAACTTATGAAGAACAGTTTCAGGAATTGGCTATGTCTAGTGAAAAGAAGGACTAAGAGTGACATAGCAATCTTCCAATATTTGAGGGGCTGCCACAAAGAAGAGGGGGTCAATCTATTTACTAAAGCACCAGAAGGCAAGACAAGAAGCAATGGATGGAAACTAAGTAAAGAGAGAACCAATCTAGAAGTAAGGAGAAATTTCCTTACAAAGAACCACCAATGGAATGGCTTGCCTTCAGACGTTGTGGGTGCTCCATCACTGGGGATTTTAAGAAGAGATTGGACAACCATTTGTCTGAAATGGTTGAGGGTCTACCGCTTGAGCAGGGGGTTGGACTAGATGACCCCCAAGGTCCCTGTTATTCTGTTTGATCAGCTTCAGCATGGACAGACTTTCTACTGATCAAGGTATTATTCCTATGAGTGACAGCAAACCCTCAACCTTAAGCCTGGATTTTTCCTACTCATCAGTCAGAGGGGAGAAGTAGCAATATGACCACGTTCGCCAATCCGTGTGCTTCAGTGCAGTGTGCCAACAAAGCATTTGATTAGAAATCACTTGTGGAGCTTTAGATTCTAGGTATAGAGAGAATGTTGAGATTATAGATATATTCAAAGAACAGCTGTTATAGAAGGGCTTTCCAAGTAACCAAAAAAATGGAATGGGATATGCAAAATATTTCCCATTCAAAAAATTTAATTTCCAGTACAAAAAGCTCCATCCCAAAGTGGAAAGGAAGTTTCATATACTACATGAAACAAGCTATTTCGGTCATTTTTAAAATTTGTTTCAAGCTCCCAAATTAACCAAATCAGGCCATTTTGCTCTTTTACCAGCTGTTGCAGGAAGCTTAGTATAAAGCAAAAAAAAAAAAAAAGGTGAAGTTGACATTCCAAACAGCAATTTCTTTTAAGGCTTTTTCTAACCCAACATCCATTTTCACAAAAAAATAAAATGAAGAGGCTCAGTTACAATTGTCAAGTCAGCTCCTTCTTACGAGGAAAAAAAAACAACCACTTACAAGAAAATGCCAATTTCACTAGAACAGGAGACATTTGGAGAAATATAGCACAACTACTGTTTTTAAAAATCAGTGTTGCATCCAGGTTTATGCTTTTCTAAAGTTTTTCTGCTGGCAGCAGATTCTTCCTTCACATAGCCTCAAAATCTATTGCGATGGCTGCCCCAAACACTAAGTGCAGATTTTGACAGCTGGGACGGGGGGGGGGGGGTAGAGAGGGAAAAATCAATTTCATTAGTAGTCTGCTACAGCAAGACGATAACTTCCACCCCATGTAAAGCACACCAAACATGTGCACACTGCCTATAGTAATCTCTCATTGTAGAAAGAAAGCTCTTTGCCCAACTCCATTTAGCCCATAAACATGTGCTCTGCTTGTCTTTTGTACATGTTTTAAAAGACAATCCTGGCTGCAGCCATTCAACTTAAAAAAAAAAAAAAGAACTTCTCTAGGCCTAAAGAAGTTTTTTTGCAAATTAAGATTGCAGTGAAAACCAACTGACACTTCACCTGTATATTCCTAACTCTCCTGTTTTTGATTTTGTTTTAAATAAGAGGCAGTAGCATTCCAATAATTCAAGCTTTTAAGCTTTTTTCTCATAATGAGTTGTGGGAATAGTGAAATCCCAATCCCATTATTCAAATTTATATGATGTAAAAAAAAAAGTAAGTTTTCTGTAGCCGGTTCCTCCCAGCTATATGGTTTTATAAAGCAGTGTTTTTGTTTGGTTAAATTCTGGGTAATTAGAAAAGAGTGCTGTGCTATTCTCTAAGCCCCAAGGGAGTTTATTAGGCATCAGTTATTGCACAGCGCCCTCTAGTGGCTCTGTCCAAGTTTGAAGCACAATTAATTGCGGCATTTCTGAGCAATAACTATTCTGCAGCAAGTTATGAAGTCTCCATGGAAAGTCATTATAAACAAGTTGTTTCCAATTACAACACGCGTTTACTCAGGCACCCATTTTTAATGCCCAAAGTGGTAAGTTCTTTATGCAATATTTATACATGATGAATAGTCAACTTTTTTTTAATCCCAATTTTGCTGCGTGTGCAGCTAGAAACCTACAATGTGCTTTAACAGTGCATTTGAAATAGACAGCATAATCCACAGCTAATGGAACTGCTCTGTGCACAGCTCTGAAATGCAATCCTATGAATCAAACACAAAGAAACTTAACCTGTATTACATTTCTTTTATATGAAAAGTTCCCTTTTAGGTCAATTTGAAACAAGGGAATCTTTTAAACATCTTCACGTCATTAAGGAGATACAACACTGCCAGGAAAAGCTCTTTCCATTATTTGAGTGGTTAATTCCTTTCACTTCCCCATAAAAATGCACACACAATGGGCAAATATACCTGTACTATGCTTTTACATGAAAGTAAAGTAGTTCAGTCATTCTTTCTGTACAAAGGCACGCTATTTACAATATTCGTTACACACAATATAAATGTAAACATTTTTCAATAAAATTATGTTGCAATGACTGCAAATTCTATACATAGATTGGGAGGTTTTCCTTCCCTTCTAGAAATCAGTGGTTTCAGTGCCGTGCTAGGATCTCAGGAGGACATACAAGCCATTATATCACATGCAATTTGATTGACGTTAATAGTCTGGAGACGGAACAAATGTATGGATTAGACTTCATATCAATGCAACTCTATATGGGGTGGTATGATCTAAGAGCCTTGCATGCAATTAACTAAATCAAATATATGCTGACTTTCAGTGAGAAAGTGCTATACATTCACTATTCAGCAGTACTTGCACAATTTGCACACCAATTGAAGGAACTTGGCTTCACAATGGAACAAGAAAGGCTAGGGTGAAGATACAGCACATTAGCCTGGAGATGATGTTCAGGTTAAAAAAAAAGAGAGATCTGTAAAGTAATTTTGAAGCTTTCTACTATGCCTTTAGACCAGTGGTTCTCAACCTGTGGGTCGGGACCCCATTTGGGGTCGAACAACCATTTCACGGGGTCGCCAAACAACGCAGTCTGCCATTTTTTCCCCCTTTTCCTTAGCTGTGCTACTTCCTTTTATTCTATTAGCTTTTGAAAGCCAATAGAATAGATTCTCTTGAATAGAGTCTAATTCTATTGGCTTTCAAAAGCCAATAGGAATTGTCCAGGCTGTCTCTGCCCTGCTGAGCAAGCCAAAAGTCCCATTCTGCAAACGGTGCTGCACCAGTTGAGTAGTCCTCAACTTATGACCGGTTGAGTAGTCCTCGACTTACGACCGGTTGGGGGGGGGTCACGGCATTAAAAAGGTTGAGAACCACTGCTTTAGACATAGTCTTTCTCCCTTGTATCGTGTCTGTATTTTATAACACGGCATATGTTCTGGTTTGTGGGCTTAAAGTTTAATAGAACTTGGAGAAGGATTTTTTTTGTGTGTCTCTTCTCAGATCCATACCATTAAGAACATCCCATTCTACAGACATGCTAAACACCACAAATCTGTTCTGTTCAATTCAATTCAGTTCAACACAATGTGGTACAAAGGTAAACCCAATCTTAATTTTCCCTTCAAATACTGTCGGCATGGATCAACAACCAACAAATGAAAGATTGAGATTATCCATAATTCTGATACATTTTTAAATTGATTGCTGCCCTTTTAGAAGGATATAGTATAGCTCAGGGGTCCCCAACCCCTGGTCCATGAACCAGTACCAGGCTGCGGCATGCCAGCAACTGGTCCACACAAACAAGCAAAGCCCCATCCATAGGATGCAGGCAGTACACAAAACCACGCCCCCTCCGGTCCACGGAAAAACCTCTCCACGTAACCGGTCCCTGGTGCCCAAAAGGTTGGGGACCTCTGGTATAGCTTATTTTATAAAATAGAAGTGCATGTGACAGTATCTAGGGAGTATACATTTAACATAATGTGGTGTTTCCTAAACAGAATGGCAATATAATTATTTCAATATCGAGCTAATAGCGCTTGATCCAAGTAAAACATTATCGCTTCAATTTTTTAGATTGATGGACAGCTTCTGCCTAAGTGGTGAGCTGGTAAATGGTTCATTTTCCTGCTGTATAACTGTAATTTTAGAAGATTAGAAGTTATGCCAGAGGTCAGATAGTTCACCATGGTTGCTTCATACTGTCTTTCATTAACAGTAATTTTCTTCAGCCACACTGGATTCAGTTACGTTCAACAATGGCCATTTCATTATAAAGTGGTCAATTTTTCTTTCCAGTATTATCATGTTGGCAGGTCATTTGGACACATGCTATTTTCCTCAGCAGTATCGGTCCATTCCTCATTTTGGTAGGCTGAAAGGAACAGGTTTTCTAACTGTGTCAGGAATTCTTCAGCAATGAAGCTATTGGCTACACTGTCCAGAGTCTTCCTCATGCACTCCAAAAGCTAGTTTTAAGATGGAAGAATAAAGACAAAAATAATGTCAGAGTTGTTTTAATAACATTTAGGAGATGGGGGTAAGGGGGAGAACAACTATACATTTATTATGATTCTTTAACCAAAACCTATTAAGACCTTATGCCCAAATATACAAATGTATATCACAGGTATACCACAGTACAAATAACTACACAAATAACTATCACAGATTCAATAAATTGCTTTTCTGCAGTGAACATTCTTCATGACGAATAGCCAGTTTGTTAATGTAGTTGTACTTCAAATTCTGCTAGAGGCGTTATATGTGATTATATCTGAAATACGTCAAACATTACCCAGTGCAAATATTCTATATATAGAAAGCCGTATCAAATGCCAATAGCTTTGCAAACACCTCTCATCAATCCAAGAAACGTGTTTCGTGGTGCCCTGCCCTTTTTTTTTTCATTGAACAGAGGCAATTTTTGTGAGGCTTGTTAAAATAAGAGTTGCAGTAATGATGTTTCTTATTACATCATTTACCCATCAAAGTTTACATAAGAATTACTTGAGATACCAATAGTCCAAATTCACTATGCAGCATTTTATAGTCTATGTGGCATTTGAATTTGGGGGGGGGGGCAGGGTGTTGGTTGGTGACTGGAAGCTTCTTGGGAAATATTGTTTGACTGATGTTTGGAAATGGTGCCAAGCCTATTTTGATTGGTCCACCTTGCCAATTTATTGTATGGTCTGAATCAGCCACTTGAATGAATGGTAGAGTATATTTAGTTCCATCGATTCAAATAAAGGAACCATCAACAGATTTATGGAGCTAGATGTAATCTACTATCTGGTCCTCACTTTTCAACTGTTGCACAAAGGAAGCTTCCTGGAATGCTAAATGAAATATCTGTGTAAAAAAAAAACAACAACAACCAGGATCTCCCTAAGCCTGAAGAACCTTAACTAGAAGTATGTAAAATTCATATAATGTTCAACAGATCATTGTAAACAAAATCATGTAGACTACAACTTATGGGAAAAAATAAAAGTGAGAGGATTCAGTATGGGAGCATTCATTTCCGCAAGGAATATTTCTGCAGTGTTGGGGTAGAATTCTGGCCATTTGAAGCTATTTAAGGTTTATACATCTTGATGAAAATCAAGACAGTCAGGCTGCATGTTTTTGAAGACAAGTCTAATCTACCTAAGACAGTGTTTCTCAACCTTGACAATTTTAAGGCATGTGGACTTCAACTCCCAGAATTCCACAGCCAGCAATGCTGGCTGTGGAATTCTGGGAGTTGAAGTCCACATGCCTTAAAATTGTCAAGGTTGAGAAACACTGACCTAAGAGAATTCTATTTTGTCAAACTTTCATTTATTTCAGTATTTTATAAGAGTCAATTGCTTGCGAGCCTCAGCAAAGAAATGGTAAATATATGCAAATATGTAACCACTAATTCACAGATTTTTAGCACAATTTCTCTCATGTTTAACAGGTTGGATCCAGATTTAGATACACTTAGCACAGATGATGAAAAACCAATGCCACAAATTGTCATACTTAGAATAGATCTACTGAAATCAGAATCCAACTGAAGATTAGGCACAATGATGCTGCCTGAAATTTCAGGGGAGAAACAAAGAATTTTATAATGATTACCTTCTGCAAACACGTTAGGTCTGAATCTCTATGGAAGATTTTATCCATGGGCACACAACTATTGAATGAAACATGGCAAGAAAATGTCAGAGGATACATGAAAGTGCTTTTTACTTGAAATACATACTAATTTGGACTAACGTGAAAGATTCCAAAATTCAAGCAGCTACACACCTGTGAGAGAGTCTGTATTTTTCAATTATCCACTGTGTTTTTTCTAATACTAGCTCCCACTGAGGTTCTTCCAACATTTGTTGCACTTCAAACTTGTATGGCAGGCCTGTAAGCCATTAAAACATATATCACATTATACAGCATCATACACAAAAAATGCTGCTCTCTTCCATTTAAAATGTATTGTTCACCTCCCTTTATTTGTACTAACAAAAATCAACAACACTGGTTTATAACATCAAGACCTTGATCTAATTATCTTAATTAAAGACCAAATTAGCTTAAGTTCTAAAATCAGGTTCAAATCTGTGTCGAATTGCTCATTTAATTGCTTGTCCATAGCATAATTGAGCAGAAAATGCATGCCTTGTTAATTTCAAAAATGAGATGTATTATACAAATTATAAAGCCATTTGATTATAAATGGAAACATTCGACATCTTGGCTACTCAAACCTTTTAATTATTGAAATTGATATTAATTTCTTTTCCTCCCCTCTTTCTATCACAGATAATCCCATACTCCAATTTATACAAGCTTCAATTGTCTTCATGCTTTGGATATCAATTTACAAAGGATTATTGATAATATCAAGAGATTAAAGGCTAGATACGGATTTTACAAATCTGTAAATTTTATAAATGCTCTCTTGCTTAGCTTTTCCAACTTAACTAGACTGCTCTGCTGATAATATTTTTAAGAACTGGATTTAACTAAATTACTCAACCCCCCCCCCCCAAAAAAAATCTGCTTTCTACAATTTTCCTGTATGTGGGCATTTCAGACACTTAGACAACCATATGTTCATTTATCTAGACCATTGGTGGCAAACCTATGGCATGGGTGCCAGAGGCGGCACTCAGAGCCCTCTCTGTGTGCACGCACATCGTCGCCCCAGTCCTAGGCCTTCAGCTGGGTTTTATAAAACCTTTTCACTTTAGGCCTCCGCCGCCATGTGCAAAAAAAAAAGTTCAATCTATCAATCAATTTCAATTTCTCCCAGGAAAAAAAAGATCTTGCAAAGTTGGAATTGATTGAACTTTTTAGTCCCACCCAGTCTGCCATTACCACCGCAGTGGACCACACCCACCCAATGGGCCACACCCACCGGGCACCCGACAATGCATAAGTGGGTTTTGGGTTGCAGTTTGGGCATTCGGTCGCTAAAAGGTTCGCCATCACTGATCTAGACCATTAAAGACAAAAAGATAATTTATATACTATACTAGTTACTGAATGTAGTCAAGCAGATGCTAGCAACCATCTGACAGGTTGAACTTCAGACTGAATTTGAGTTCTAATATTCTAGTACAAAGAAGAAACAAAACAACTAAGCTATTCAGGTGTCAGGAAATAATGCAGATGCTCCCCCTTTGTTAAATACACTTTAAAAAAAAAAGACCCAAATCAAACAATATAATATAATCTTGCCCGTATAGACTTTTTTTTTTTTAAAAAAAGACCCAAATCAAACAATATAATATAATCTTGCCCATTTTTGCCTCCCATAAATATTATGGGGAAATGTTCAATTCTGTTAGTTTGGGATAATTTTTTAAATATATTTTAAATTATATAATTTAAGTTTGGGATGTATAGATGTCTCCTAGGAATGTTATGACCACTGATGTGCCTTTAAGCACTGCACTGCTCATCCCAAGGTTAAACAACTGGGTCTAGTATCACTGTCACACGATCCAGATTTTAGTTAAATACTCTTAAAATTGATAGCTGCTTCCCCTTTCACTATGTATGTATGAACCCCCTGTACTATCTGATCTCTCTAGTCATGTCTGCATTAACCTCCTTTGAGAACCTAGACAGAAGTGAAAAGAAAAGACGGAAGTTGGAAGCTTATACAAGCCCATAATTTATTCCATTCTCTCCAACATTTATCAGAATTCACTGTTTTCCCATAAGATGTATGGCAGACCAAAATGTGCAAGATTTCAGTGTTCCTGAGCCAGCATGGCCATTTCTGAGAATTTGGGGAGCTGCTCCACAATATAGGGTGGTATTCAGGGTAGGGGAAGCCGAGGTGGCGCAGCAGTTAGAGTGCAGTACTGCAGGCCACTTTAGCTGACTGTGTTCAGCAGGTCAGCGGTTCAAATCTCACCGGCTCAAGGTTGACTCAGCCTTCCATCCTTCCGGGGTAGGTAAAATGAGGACCCAGATTGTTGGGGGCAATGTAAATATATATATACATTGCTTACTGGTGTACACCGCTTAGAGAGTGCTTGCACTTAAAGCGGTATATAAGTCTCATAAATAAATAAATAAATAAATACTTACTCCCAACCCCAAAGCCTGCTTCGCTGTAAATGCAAACAAAGGTCACAGATTCCTATGACTCCAGCACCTTGGTGCTTAGATTCAAATTCATTCATTAACATTCAGTTTGTAAAAACTAGCTTTTATTTTTCTTCCCCGCCCCCAAGATTTCTAATTAAGCATAGCTTAATTATAATGACTCTTTCTCTTATCTCTCCAAAGCCTGCTTTTAAAACACATTGAAATAAAACCCATAGCAGAGAGGATTATTTTAAAAAGCACTTACGGTAGGATCCATCTGAACTAGTCTCATCACTAATTACAAGACAAGTGATCTGAGAATAGGGAAGAGGATTATTTCGATTGTAAGGACTTACAATCATTCCAACAAACATTGAGCCACCTCTGGAAAAATAGCTCTGGAGAAAAATAAAAATGCAGTAAACAAAATACAATATACCTTTCTGTCTCTGCGTATAATCAATCAGAATGCAAATGTATCAATAACAATGGCATGTGGTAGTTTTTATTATTCAAAGTTGTATGTAGCTAATGAATAAACAGCATTAAGCTTTCAACAGTTATGAGTTATATTTATTTTTTTGTTCAGCAAGAAGAGGTTACCTGGTATTTTGCCTGGGTATCAATATCCCGTATGGAAGGATTAGGGTCAAAAGCAGGATGAGAATGATACCATCCAATGATACTGTAACCTCTAGCAGCCAGTGTCTCTGATGCTTGAGTTTGAGATACTGGATCCATTTCACACTGCAATCCTGTACTAAGGCTATTGCAGGGTTCTGCTGCACAGACCTGCAAGTTAGCAAATATGGAGGATTTAATGGGGACCCTATAGTCGAATGTTTTTAGGATTCTGAACAACATGTTCTATTTTAAAATGGATGCCTGAATTCCAAACGTACAGTGATCAAGCTCTTAAACAGATGCTCCTACATGGATATTTTAATATGCTCTGCTTCAATTTAGTCCACTGTAACTCATTTCTTGTACTCAAAAGTTTTGTATTTCAAATTATTCCCTTACGTAATAACAGAACTGCTTCCCTGTTTCTTTATTTCCCTAGAGCAGACATGTCAAACACAAGGCCTGGGGGCCGGATGCGGCCCGCGAAGTGGTTTCATGTGGCCCACGAAGCCATCCTGGAAACAGTGAGAGAACGGCCCCCACTGCCTTGGCCCTGGCCGGCCGGGAGTCAATATACAATTTTGTGGTGACCATCTATGCTGAAACACATTCAGTGTTAGCTCCACAAGGCCATCTGGAAACAGCGAGGAACCAGCTCCTGCCATGTCGGCCCCGCCCCCTGGACGCATGCTGGGGAGGTGTCACCCTTTGTGAGGAATGAAGAAATGCACCATCGCCTGGAAGTGGCCAGCAAATGGCCCTCGCCTACTTCACATATCCGGCTTGATGGGCTCTGGCGGAGGGGTTTCAGCAGGCAGTGGAGCTCCTCCAATGGACCATGCCTTGGCACTTGCCCCGGTCTCACCCCCTTCTGCCAGAGACCCTCAGATCTGTCCCACTCCTGCCCAGGCCCCCACAGACATCATGTGAATGATGTAGAGCTGGCCATGCCCATCCAATAGGCCACACCCACCCGGCCCCCCGAGGGCAACCGCAATGCTGATGCGTCCCTCAATGAAATTGAGTTTGACACCCCTGCCCTAGAGGATATATCGGAAAGCATTCCTATAATGACTTAGCGTGATGTCTATAATTCATAACAAATTGGTAAGAAATTAAAATTAAAAATAAATATGGTACTTACTTCAACTATTCCATCAGTTTCAGAATATCTTCCACCTAGCAAACCAATTACTTCTGCCATTGAAACATGAGCATGCTAAAAATATAGGGGGGGGGGGGAGAAATCATTCGTAAAATGTTGGCTATCTTTTATTCTCTCCCCAATATATATATAGAAAAGAAAAATTCAGGTAGAATTATGAAGATTGGGACACTTTATCCCAACTATGTACATAGGTGTTGTGCTTAGAGACAATATAAGCCCATGTGATAAAGCTCTATGAAACAAGTACTTTCTCTTGAATTGTTACAGATGGGAAAATTAGTAGATGAGAGGTTACTGCCTTGACTAAGCTCCTCAGAAAGAAAAAGGTATACTGAGATGCAGTTTTACTTATTGTCCCCAATTGATAAACAAGTAAAACAGGCAGGAAAATATGTTAGAAGATGAAGTTTACAATTACTGAATACAACTTAAGGGATGTAATGTGTCATATGTAAGATGTCATATAAAGTACATATATCTGAGACAACTTTTGCAGGAATAATTAAGACAGTCTCTCTCAGAGACATCAAAACATTATTTTTTAATATAGCTGCCAATAAAAATAAAAATGGGCTATTTACACTGTAAATCTATATTAAGAGTTAAACTTGTACTAAAATGTATGCATTTAACCATGATAGCAGAATCAGTTTCAGTATAACATCAGTCATTCATTAATTAATGTGCATTTATAATGCACCAAAAAGATTGCAATTTTATTTAATCATGACTTAAATCTTTCTTTTAATGAATTTGAAGCTATTTTATTTATTTCCATAGAACAGGTCTTACCAAATCCATAATCAGAAGTGCTTCTGCAGCTACTGTCACTTTGAATGGCTCCTGAAAAGATAAAAATTATAAGAAAAGTTTGCTTAAGTAGACTAAAATAGGTTCATCTCTCCTAAATCATACTTACTGGTTTTTCTTCTGTGTAGGAACAACAAGGGATCAGCTGAAAGGGATCAAATGAACTATAGAATAAAATAAAGAAATATCTGAAATTACAAAACTAATGGAAAGAAAACATTTAAACGCTGCACAATTTCTTCATATTTTTAGTTTTAATTCCAATATCCTAAGTGTTCGTGATTAGTTTAAATAAGCACTTTTACGTACAAGGGAAAAAAATCCATGGGCATATTTCGATCTTTTTTTTTTTACTGCAGTGCAGACTTTATAGTATGAATTTCACTCAATTAATACTAATCTTAAATTCTTCTGACAGGAAACTTTCAAACCTAAAATCTTACCGGTCAATTTTTTCCAAAGAGATTTTACAAGATTTAAAAAAAAAAAAAAACCTTTTGGTGTGCCTTTGTCCTTTAAATGCTTTTGATAGTTTATATTTCTGATCTTCTCTCCTTTTTGCTAGCTCCTCAGCAGAGAAATGCTAAAAACAAAACATATGCATTAAGTAAACCCCCTAATACCGAGTGTTAAATATATTTAGGCTCAAAGAAATCAGGGAGCTAGAGAATGCTTAATATAGTTGTCCCACTAGCCAACGCTAACAGCTGCTACCACAATTAAACTAACATTATGTCAAATGCACTTAAGTGTCAGGAATGCACAAATCCCCTCTAGAGAAGTCAAAACAATTTCTTTCAGTGAAAAGGATGAACATTCTGCACTTTCCCATTGGTAGATTGAGTAAGGACATTTTTAATATTAAAATGTACCTTATGCTAAGTATGTCTACTTTACTTTTAGCCTGCCCTTATTTATGGTCAATTCAAGATAGCATACATAATGAAGGTTCCCATTTCCTATTTTCCCCACAACAACAAACCTGTGAGGTAGGTTGGGCTAAAAGAGAGGGACCGGTCCAAAAGCATCTAGCTGGCTTTCATGCCTAAGGGAGGTCTAGAACTCAAAAACATCTGATCTGTAGTCCAGTACCTAATCCACAATACCAAACTGGATCTTGATTGTACTTTGATCTGTTTCTCCATATGCTAGCTAAACCTTGGCTAAGAAAACTGGATAGTCATAATCAACAAGGCCAAAGCATTCAACTAGCTTAGTAATGATAGGGGGCTCAAAGGAAGCTTACAAATTACCTATGATAAGATGGCCACAACTCTTAATTTCTTATGAGGAATATAATCTCAAAAGACAAAAATCCCATATCTGATTTTAAAAGATAATGCCGTGTTTAATATTTTAATGGTTACCGTATATGCCGGCGTATAAGGCAACTTCCGTGTGCACTAAAATCGGCGCCAAAGATGGGGGTCGTCTTATACGCCGAGTCGTCTTATACGCCGGAAATACTGGTAGTTTCCGGCGTATAAGACGATGTTCTAGAAATGCGGCTCGGCGATAAAGACGGGGGTCGTCTTATATGCCGAGTCGCCTTGTACGCCGGCATATACGGTAAATGAAAAATATTCCTTTCCTGAATTCTTCACTTTTAAGGGGCTACAAGTCTGTGCCCCCCTAACCATTATTCTAAACCTGGGGTCTGCAACCTTGACAACTTTAAGACTTGTGGATTTCGGCTTCTAGAATTCCTCAGCTAGCTATGCTGGCTGAGGAATTCTGGGAGCTGAAGTCCACAAGTCTTAAAGTTGTCAAGGTTGCAGATCCCTATTCTAAACGACCTTCATCCAACCCAGTGGTGGGATTCAGCCAGTTCACGCCACTTTGACAGAACCGGTAGCTAATTTTTTGTTGCCCAGGTCCAGAATGGACCTCCGGAAGAGGCATCCACAGAGAACCGGTTGTTCACATATCTGAATCCCACCACAGATCCAACCCCCAAAGTTGGAGTGATATTTCAAAAATCAAGAGGGGTATCCAACATCCTTTCCATCAACTTCCGGACACTGAAAGACCCACCTGGAGGCATGGCTACAACTGGGCCAGGTGTGTTCCAGGAAAAGGTATCCTAGCTATACTCAAGCAAGCTCAGGAGTCTAAAATGTTATTACCTCAAACGTCTGTCCTTCCAAATCTCTGGCGTCGCACCAGTTTCCCCATGGGTCTCTCACACGTCGCCTCCTCGTACGCTGTACCAAACAGAAATGCACGCACACGTTTATTCAAGTGCACCAGGGCAGCGGGCTCCCTTTCATAATTTATGAAAGACTGTCACAAAAAATATTGTAATGCACAGTGACCCGGATTGCCACTCTCCTTACTTACCCGCTGATGAATATAGATGCCACATGAACTTTAGCTGACCCAATCTGACCCATCTGTTACTCTGTCCAGCCTCCCTGTGCTTCCTAATTCTGCATGCAACGATGCAGTGCAGAAGAAAACACAGACAACTCCTACAGCAACTCCAGAGGAAGGGGCTGGAAAGAATACCAGAAGCCATGCTGAGCTTCCGTTTTCCCTCGCTTGCTATTGAATAAGCTTTTTTGGGGGGGGGGGGAATATGTAAATAGGCTCAAGTGTCTGCCTATTTAGTCAAGCTAGTCAATTCTTAAGATTTGTACCAAATACTATGATGAGAAAAGAGAAGCCAAGAAAAGAAAGAACAGCTTTGAAAATGGGCTGGATTTAGCAGGAGACTGCACAAAAAACCACTCCAGGAAAACAATTGGGCAACAAATCAGAATGTTGCTAACTGTTTCATTTTAAGCCCTGTCTCCCCCCCAGTCAGGTGACTACGAATTGAGCTTCTTTTAAAGCAGTGGTTCTCAATCTTTTTAATGCCGCGACCCCCAACCGGTCATAAGTCGAGGACTACTCAACCGGTCGTAAGTTGAGGACTACTCAACCGCAGCACCATTTGCAGAATGGGACTTTTGGCGGGCTCAGCAGGGCAGAGACAGCCTGGACAATTCCTATTGGCTTTTGAAAGCCAATAGAATTAGACTCTATTCAAGACAGTCTATTCTATTGGCTTTCAAAAGCCAATAGAATAAAAGGGAGTAGCACAGCTAAGGAAAAGGGGGAAAAAATGGCGGACTGCGTTGTTTGGCGACCCCCGTGAAATGGCTGTTCGACCCCAAATGGGGTCCCGACCCACAGGTTGAGAACCACTGTTTTAAAGGCTGAGGGGGAAAAAATCCTGAAATCATGCTCGGCAGGATTTCTCTAATTTGTTTTAACTTGTATTTATATAATTCACACCCCACTTTTTGCTCTTAATAAACTGCATCGCTTAACAGTGGAAATTCTGGTTCCAATTGCCATCGTTAAGCGAGGACTACCTGGACAGGGCATTAACTGGTGGCTTCAGTTTTTGAGAACAATAGTGATTTCCATTTTTGCCCACCTCCAAATTTAAAGACATTGACTTGAAAATGATAACCACTTTTTATATACCTGCCCAAGAATCTAGTCGAGAGCAATATATATAATTTAACCAAATCTCTGCAAAAAGAGCACCGTGTATAGAACTCCAATATATAATTTATGAAGTCAAAGAAATCTCAGCGGCGTGTGAAAAAATGCATTCAAGTTTGCGTTCCTATAAATATTATTCTCAAGCAAACATCGTATAAGAGAATGAGGAAAAAAATAAACCCAAGGATCATGAAGACGCGATGACCCTGTTTTCCATCTCACCATGGATTGCAGGCGTTGCACGAGCTGATACGCATCAACGGCATCCTTGCCTTCCCTGGGCCGTATTTTGTCAACTGTCTGTGGTCTATTATACACAGCTTGCTCTGCAAAGGTGAAGAGATGTTGCCCTTCAGTCTCCACTTTAGACAGATGCTCAAAAAACAACTAACACCAGGGTCAAAAAACCAAACAGCTGATGACAATGTTAACTTTGCACTTATTTTAATACTATCCTTCAAGTTAAACCTTCCAATCACAAGGTTTGTGTGACTAAACAGAGCATCCCTTCCAAAATAAATAAATAAATAAATAATCAATTTACTGTATATGCTCTTCAGAATCAGCAAAGTCTTGTAAAGAATGAGTAAAAACTATTAAAAGTTACATAAACAGTTACATATGTAACTGTTCAAAGTTACATAAACGATGCTACCTACATAGGAGCTTACAAAAGGGGACCCAGGATGTAGAGATATTACAATGTAGCTAGGTACACACAACAATGAGCAAATTAGTAAAATAAATTTTCGGATCTGTCTCTAATCTACTATAGAGCACAGGCACCAGATCCAATTAAATCCCCAAACCTAATTGAAGGGGGAAAGAAACAGCAACCAATTGTATTTTTAAGTGTAAAGAAAACAGCAAATGGTTCATTCAGACTGCATTTTCTAGCCAGACACATAAAAAAAAAAATACTTTCAAGTAGATCCTTTTGCATAGCTTACGGAATTAAATCAAGCACTCTACAGATTAAGTACCTAATGCCAATTACGTGAGGAAAAAAACGATTCAAAAGAACTAGAATGGCATACTATCTTCTACTAAAGAATAGACTAAGAACAGAAAACAACACCATTACCAATATATATACTAAAAAAAAATCATAATCTAGTGTCCATTATTGCAAATTCTGGATGATCATCTGGTACTTTTTTACAGATATCACAGCAATAACAGACTAATCATTACCCCACAACAGCCTCAAACAGGTGGAACTACTATGTTATAGATATGGGAACCCAGTTTTGCAATGACCAAGATTCTACTCTTATTTTCCTTCTGGTGACATTATTACAAGATGTCATAATAAAACTCAATACGTTTAGGATTCATATATTTCCTCTTCCATATATTGCATTGAACAATCACTGAACAATTCACTCATTTGTAAGACAAACAGATCTATTTCTGGCATCTGAAGTGGGAGTATTTGAAAAAAAGCACTTAAGACAGGGGTGTCAAACTGCTGGCCTGCAGGCCGGATGCATCATGCTGAAACTGCACCCACCCCATTGCCGGCAATGGAGAAAAAGTCACAATACGTCACAACACGTCACATGACATTGCGAGTTTGATATCCCTGACTTAAGAGGAAAAATCTTGAGTGCCTTTGTTGCCAATGACCACAAAGAAATTTCAGTGAAGAGAAACAAGAAAACTAATCTATCAAAAGATACTAATTTGTTTCCAATATCTTACACAGGGATAAAGTAGTTTTATTTCATTTTCTGGCACACTAGTCATAGAATATTTGTTATCAACTAACAGACCTGACCTTCTTATATAGAATCCAAATCAATCATGCATATACTCAAAACTCCTAATGAAACTTCACTTCGTTTTTTAAGTAGCCTTCAGCCCACAAAAGCTACTGCCTTAATTAAACAGGATACTTTTTGATACAAAAAGCCTTGCTGTTGTTTTACCACACAAGGACACAATGTAGCAGAAAAATACAAACGTGAGTTAACGAAAAGAGAAAGTTTACGAGTTCTTGATTCTCTAAGATTGACATCTGACTTCCAACTCTAATAACCATATTTTTAAAATGCTGTTTCTAATCTTTATTCTCCTTCCACCTCAAGTCTATTAGTGCTTCCTAAAAGAAAAGGTTCAGTAGAATTCTCTCTGTCTTTGGTAGCCGTGAGCTGCTGTGGAGACTCCTCTAAAAAACAAAGGACCCAGAATGTAAACCTAATAAAACAGTGTTCTTTTTACCACAGCCAAAGTTAATTGCTCCTATTAATTCCAGGTATGTATGTATTCGTCCAATGCAGTTGACATCACCACAATTTTTCAGCCCTGGACGTACCGATGTCTTGTTCAGGTATTTTGGTTTGATTCTTTCCCTAAAACCAAGTGGAATCACAATGAAAAATATAGATTTGACATACCTAAATGTATCTCATAATTTCAGGGGTGGCAGTCATGAAAACTATGGGATAGTTGCCATTCTTTTAGAGAATTTCTATTGAAGCGATAAAAAGCAATGAAAGCCAGCTGGTGACCTTGGGATGGATGGACATTCTCTCTCAGCCCAAACCTACTTTATAGGGTTAATGATGTGGGCAAAATAGGAGATAGAATTTGTTTGCTGCCTTGAGTTATATATAAAAAGACAGGATAAAAATATAATAATAGTATTTCTATAATAGCCATATGAGATAGATTGGGCAGCAAGAAAATGATTGGCCTTAAGTCTGCCAGTAATATCTCAGTTGTAGTTCTGACTGCTCTACAGTTTTGTAAATAATTAGAAGTCATTAGGGTGCATAAAAGGGGGGCACAGATGGCTACCAAGTCATGTATTATAAATGGACACTATATAACAGTGCAAGTATACAAAAAATACACGAACTGTTAATTACATGAAGCATGTTTGTTGCATACCCTATCACTGATGACATTCTTTTCACCAGCGCTATGTATGCATTGACCAGATCCCCTTAAAAACAGCAAATTGATTGTCCAAAGGAGTCAGATGAACTGAAGTGAGCTTTCAGTTCATCAATAATGCTTACCATTGGTCCAAAATATAATTTCTAATTTTCAAATAGCGCTCAGGTGTTTTGGCTTGACGTCCAACAAAAAATTCTGGAATTGCTTGCTTTTCTTCTTCTAATATAATGCCTCTATCTATTGCTATTTCTTGATCTGGTGACTTAAGCTCCTCTGCATCCATCCGATTTTCTTCCCCAAGGTGTTCAGAAGGAAGGAAATGAGTGCTGCTGTCAGCTGTGTTCTTTTGTTCACAAAGCTCTGGACTAGGAAACCAGTCGGGACTTTCAGAAGACCCTGTTCCGTCACACTTCTGATTCTCCATTTTTATAGTCCGATGCTCTTTATTCTCAAAGCAGGAGACTGCAGTTTCATCTGTGTTTTGCTCTGGTTTTGTAACGTCCCTGGTTAAGACAACAGCAGACATGTGGTGAGCAGAATCCAAAACAGGTTCTGTCCAATTGCTTTGCTCAGATGGGCTTTTTGGAATATCTAATATCTCAGGCTTTCCAGATTCTTGCAGATGCGCACAGGATAAAAGTTCATCCATTTCATCTGTAATGTCTACTTCCTCGTCATCTGACAATTTTTCAATTTTCACTGCATTTAAATTAGGGTCTGCTCGACCTCTTAAGTGCTCTGGTGCCCATGACACCTTCTTCCTTCCATCATCCTCGTTGCTTTGTGGAAGAGCAGCACCAAAGTGCTGCTGCTGCTGCTGCTTCACTTTTTCCAAGCCATCAATTTTTGCCTGGTTACATTAAGAAGAGTTAAGCAAGGCACAACTCAATTAAAAAAATCAGATCAAAAAAGAACACCAGTTAAGACAAATAAACTAGCTACTTCTCAATGTTGTCCCATTCTCCAGTTAAAAACAATTCCAGTTAGGTTGTAATAGTCAGTGTTTTCATCTCAAGGTAGCAATGTGTTGTAGAATTGCTCCTATAAACAAAATGCGAAAAAAGGAGGTGCAGACATACAAACTCAACCAGGTGCTCTCAAAATTTCAACAGAGAATTTGGGCATTTGGAAGAATTTGAAACTGCATGAGTGGTAGTCCACTTATGTGATGTTATATTTCACTCAGTGGCTCAATTAATATTAATTAAAAAAAAAGCTGGATACTGGATAGATTTGATCAATTTATTTCTTATAGCTAATCTTTTTCTATTTGTCATCCTGTCAAGTAAAACTCATTTCTAATTTACCTTGTTTTTAAAATATTGTCTGGCATAGCTTTTTACTTGAAGAACGTTGCGACTTTCAATCATCATAGCAATTTTTGTCCATCTTCTGCCAAATTTAGCCTAACAAAAAAATAAATATAAATTCAGAGGTGGGAATACAGAAAAGATAACAGTTTATCTAAACATGGCTACTATAAGGGACTGTAATGATGTGTGGAAATAACCTTGGGAGACAGGAAGAAGAGCTTCAGCCTAGAAAACAGTCTGATAAACAAAATGTGAATTTGAAGGAGGAAGGTGTTGTAAAAACACCCCAGACCCTCCCTGGTTCTCAGGAGAGTATAACTGAGGGATGTGAGGGGTAATTTCAGACTTGCAAAATTTTATTAAGGACACCTTACAATAAAAATAGAGCGAGTAATACCGATTGTCCTTGATTGGACTACCTCTCATGGCTGACAGTTACGGGTAGTCCTCCTTTGGTGGCTAACTCATTCAGTGACCATTTGCAGTTACAACAGTGATGAAAAACTGTGTGACCAGTCCTCACATTCAGACCTTTGCAGGTCTAAACAGCAAAGGAAAGTTGAAGTGAGATCATAAGCACAGTTGCGGTTTTACTTAATAACAAATTAATCCCAATTGTGGCTGCTAAATGAGAACTACTTGTATTGTCAACAGGTGTTAAGTTCACACTTTAAAGCAGAGATCTCCAACCTTTTGGGCACCAGGGACCAGTTCCATGGAGAGAGATTTTTCCACGGACAGGAGTGTGCATGGTTTTATGTGCTGCCTGCATCCCACGGATGGGGCTTTGCTTGTTTGTGCGGACTGGTTACTGGCATGCTGTGGCCTGGTACCGGTCCACTGACTGGGGGTTGGGGACCCCTGCTCTAAAGTATCATGGAGATCCAAAGCAAACCACAGTACTTCCTTGTCAGCTTTTTAGCATGGTAACTTTGCTAACAGAACAGACTAAGAGTCTCAGAATAGTTTTCAACCCCAAATGCGTAAGACCTTATTAGGAAACTAAACCCAGATTATATCTTACTCTCGGAAGATAAAGAGTTTTCCATCTTCCCTCTCAAATTTGCTATAAATGATTGGGGATTTTTGTAATAGTGTGAGAATCAGTACAAGGAATTACACTTCCCTGATAATGCATCTTAGAATCCCTGCTGGCTTGCCAAGGTTATCTCATTCAACACAGAATGTTTTAATGTTAAGACTGAAGGATGGCTGATTATCACCAAAATTACAGTAAATGGTCCAGAATTACAGATAGTCCTTGACTTACAACCATTCCTTAAGTGACTATTCAAAGTTACAACAGCATTGAAAAAGTGACTTTTTCACACTTACGTTGCAGCATCCCCATGGTCATGTGATCAAAATTAGGATGCTTGGAAACTGGTAGTATTTATGACGGTTGCAGGGTCACAGGGTCATGTGATCCCCTTTTGCAACCTTCTGACAAGCAAAGTCAATGGGGAATCCAGGTTCACTTAACCACCATGCTACTAACAACTGCAGTGACTCATTTAACAACTGTGGCAAGAAAGATCATAAAATGAGGCAAAACTCACTTAACTGTTTTGCTTAGCAAAGGATTTTGAGGCTCAGTTGTGGTCATAAGTCAAAGAGCACTTGTACTTTCTTGTTCCTTTTTAAACAATTATGTGACATGGTGGTATTTAAAACCGTTTACGTTAAATGTTAGTATTTGTAATATTTACCAGTCCTTCTTCAAACTTTTCCTTTTCTTCTGTTGTCCACTTCAGTGAACTAGTTGCTGATTTTGTGATAGGTGAACGAAGCCTATCAGAAAGCAAAATACTTAATTTCATACACATGCATTTAAATAATAGGACGTAAAAGAAAACCGGTATGATCAACTGCCTTTACAAAAAAAATATTTAAGAGCATGTTACATATCTAAAAAGTCACATTTTTTAAACAAGGGTTTGGGTTCAAACTCTGAGACTTGCAGTATCGTGCATATAGGATTTCCTATCACTCCCCCATTCTGTTTTGGGAGTTGTTAGTGTGTGGATGATATTAAAAATCTTTTGCCCTAATAGAAGGGCAATACGTAATCTTGGATCCAATCCAGTACGAATGCAAGAAATTCAATTATTTTAGAGTGTTTATAAATAACACAACAAATTCTACATGCATAAAACAACAATCTTAAACTTAGGTTTAGCATCAGAAGTACATACATGATTTTTGTTTCTTTCTTGTGTGGACTATGAAGTAAAAACAAGAAAAATAATTATTATTTAATACTATATATTTAGTAGATATTTCTAAAATTATTTTTATAATGTGCAGATTTCTAAAATGTTTTCCAGTATTCTGATTGTATCCAGCTATTATTTTCAGTTTTAATTTTTATACGTTATAGAATGAAAGTATGTTTTAAAATATTAAATTCTTTCTTTAAAAAAAATAGTGTGATCAAAAAGAACATTAAAAAACATTGATGGCCCCCCACAGTTTTACAGAGCAAATTTTACCTTTTTGTACATTTTTTATCAATTTCCTTCAACTCGTGCCAATTTTTTTCTGGAAGCGACTTGCTAGACAAATAATATCTAAAATATATTAAGGACTTCAGAAAGGACACTATCATGAGAGAAATTTTTTCACAGGAATGTTTGGGCAGTTTTTTATTAAAAGCAGTGTCTTTGAAACCCAATGAATTTGCGTAAGTTGTAACACATGAAGTATTGCAATAACACCACATAATGCTTGCACAACACTTGGTTAATGAAGAATCCCACATGCATTTAATCAGACTTAAATGAAAGCTTAATGTGCTTATAACTGAAACCCAAGAAAACATAGATAAGACACATAAAATTTCTCTGTACCACCATTCATGTTTAGTGAAATTAGAATAATTTTACTTTTTCTTTCCTGCAGAAGAAATAATAAAGAAGAATATTTGAAGCTTGGGATTGAAATGAGAGGTATTTGGTGCTCTCTGAGCTTGGTTGTTCTCTTGCATATGTTTCATTATCAAACCTTCAAATATTTAGCGATTCCCTCTTATACTTTTTTTAAATAAGTTTCAGGACATGGAAAAAGCAAAAATCTATCCAGGAATCACAAAAACTGGTGGTAGACAAAACAATCACAGTACATAACCCAAGTTCTTCCTCTTCACATAGACAACTGAGTTTATTCACACAGGTATGTTATACTAATCTATGAAAAGAAGCATTCATGTTTTATGTCCTTGTAGGTCTAATCAACAAGGACATAAATAACAATTCTTTTTTTCAGAGAATTAGGAGACTGTTGGCAAAAGAAAGTATCTTGGGAAATAAGTAGGAGGAACAAATTGTTACAAAACTAGTTACAATCCTTATATCTATCTGCTGAATTACAAATCTGCATTACAGCTTTTTCTCACTTTTTAGTAACATAAGGATACTCTTCTTCCAGAAGCATCTTCTCAATGACAGCCTTGTTTTCTTCACTAATTGTACTATCAAGACTCCAAGGCTAAGAGAAGGAAATAGCAGTTATACAATATTAATTCTCATATCAGGAGTGGTATGAAGAGAAAGAGGAATCCTCTAAGATGCAAAGTGAAAAAATAGGCATATCTGTAGGAAAACTCAGAAAACATGAGGTAAAACATGGTTTAAAAATATAAATTAGTAAAATTTCATCCTTTCTTTAGAAATCCAAAAAGGAACAGGAAAAGGAACATAATATGCATGCCTCAAAAAGAAAAAAACATATACATAAACCTACTGCACATAACTAGCTGCCATATTTGTTCTCGGCTTAAATATTTTTTATGAACACTGCATATAATATTTTCTTTCTGCCTATGGTAGTTTATAAACCAAAGTAGATGGAAATTGAAACATATCATAAAACATTTGTCTGAAAATACAAAGAGTGATAACTCATTCTTCCATTATATTCTGTAGTTTACTTACAAGAACCACATCTGTTCTCCAAGTGGAATCAAGGTAGTGATCTTGAAGTAAACTGGATGATGGATATTGGTAACTTCTGGAACAAAAAGCCAAAGAATAAAGATTATCACAGGCATGGTATTTTAATACTTTTAAAATGTCATTTAATATATTGCTCTGCCCTTGATCCTACCCATTTATCTTTACAAGAACATATGGATTAACAAATAATACTGTAGGACAAGAATAGGCTGAACTAGAGAGCGGGATTAAACATTGCCCCAAGAGACCCCAAGTCCAGCTCCCTCTTGAATTCTGTTGAACCTTATCTAATGCTTTGACCATTAGCTTTGACGATTAGTTGACTAAATTCTTATTTATAGGTAGCAATAATAAACTCTTCTATCCTTTGGACTCCGCGAATGCTCCCGGTTATTTGCACCTGCCAAGTACTGGAAAAATTATTACATTATTTTATAGCAAATATCTGTAATTCCTCAGTTTCAGGGTCATTCTCATGGTCCATCATTAGTCCTGGAGGGGGGGAAATTTACCTCCCTCAGTGCAGGCACGCAACTTGGGTGTCCTCCTGGACTCACAGCTAAATTTGGAACAACATCTATCAGCTGTGGCCAGGGGGACCTTTGCCCAGGTTTGCCTGGTGCAGCAGTTGCGGCCTTATTTGGACCAGGAGGCTCTACTCACAGTTACTCATGCCCTTGTCACCTCAAGACTGGATTACTGTAATGCGCTCTACATGGGGCTACCCTTGAAGAGCATTCGGAAGCTGCAGTTGGTTCAGAATGCAGCCGCGAGAGCGATTGTGGGTGCACCAAGGTACACCCACGTGTCACCTATCCTCTGCGAGCTGCACTGGCTTCCTGTGGGTCTCCGGACGCAATTCAAGGGGTTGGTTGTCACCTTTAAAGCCCTTCATGGCTTAGGACCAGGTTACTTACAGGACCGCATACTGCCACATAGTTCCCAGAGACCGGTGAGGTCCCACAGATTGGGCCTCCTTCAGGTCCCGTCGGCCAGACAATGTCGGCTGGCGGGCCCTCGGGGAAGGGCCTTTTCTGTGGTGGCTCCGACGTGGTGGAATCAACTTCCCCCCGAGATTCGAACTACTCCCACCTTGCCGGCCTTCAAGAAAGCTATTAAAACTCTCCTGTTCCGGCAGGCCTGGGGTTGATGTCCCCGGGGGGGGGGGCGGGATTCGATTGGGACATGCTGTGTGAATGTATTCATTTTTAATTGTTATACTTGTTGTTTTAATTTTGTACGCCGCCCTGAGTCCCTAGGGATTGGGCGGCATATAAATTTTATTAATAAATAAATAAATAAATCCCACGAAATAGTGAAACATCCAGTTATTGTTGCAGCAGTATGCCATATTTAGGACCATCTGATGTGAAGAGCCAGTGGTTAGAAAAGATCGTCCATAAAAATATGCAAACTGAGAGTCAAAATGAAAAGTTAACTGTACTATTTAGTAGTTTAAAATAATGAAATAATTTTAAAGAATAGGAACAATTCAAATGATTGATGGGAAACAACAAAGTAAGGAAGTGGAACAAAAGGTATGAAAATCTATGAAAAGGTCTATGAAAAAGTAAATTATTTCACAGAGATGAAAAGTAATCTATGATCCATGAGATGCTAATAAACAACAGATAGGGAAACAAGATGAGATTTCATCAATTATTCCTGAATTTATCAGTCCTTTTGCTACTGCTTCTAAACAACAGTCAAAATTTGTACAGAGTAAAGCATTTTCATCCTTCACCCCCTCCAAAGAAGTCTATAGATACTCAACTTCCAGCATTATCTCTATCACACTGAAAGATTACTGGGAAAGACATAAGCAGTAAGCACAGACACAGATTTTTGGTTATAATGTTAAGAAGCCCATCAAACTCCAGCCCATAGTGCAATGGTATGTGAAAATAACCTTGGGAAGCAGGAGGAAAAGTGTGATGAATAATATTTGACACTGAAGGAGATTTTAACTATTGGGGAGAGTAAAAGTGAAAGAAGGGAGGGATACATTCAGACTTGCAAGATTCTGTTAATGTAACCTTACAATAAAGATAAAGCTAGTATTCCAAGTTGTGCCTCTTGTCTGGACAACAGTTGCAAGGTTTATAAATAGTTAAAAGATATCATGAACTCTAACTGAAACATTTGAAGGCTGCCAGACTTTACAAATACACCACTCCATCCCAGGCTCTGTTTGCAAAATTAACCGGCGAAAAGCTTTATTTTTATAAATATAAGCGAATAACTCGGGAGTGCAAGAGATGGCGTCTCCTTCCCTTCCTCCATTATTTTAGTCTTCTAAAAAAACCCCAGAATAGATAAATTATCTTATAAGTCTGCTTTACCTAACCCCGCGAGCACGAGTATCATTCCGGGAGACCGACGGAATGAAACATCTTCCCCGAAGACGAGCCAAAGCTCTAGATCGGTGTTTCTCACCTTTGGCTACTTTAAGACGTGTGGACTTCAACTCCCAGAATTCCCCGACCCGCATGGCGGCTGTATAATTCTGGGAGTTGCAGTCCACAAAATTTAAAATGGCCAAGGCTGAGAAACACTGTCTTAGCCCCAGAGCAGAACGACTGACCTCAACCAGCCATCGCAACGCCAAAGGGTCTGGACGAACGGCATTGCACGAGGCCTCTCCTCGGAAAACAGAACCATCTTCCCGATTGCCAGGTTGGCAGCCCAAAAGCTCGCCTTTTCTTACCCAGGCTGCGCTTCCGCAGCAGGTCCCACCGTCGAGTCCCCCTCAACATCAACATCCAACTCTTCCACAGCTTCCATACTGGCACCTCCACCGGATCTCGCAGTGACGACACAGGAAGAGAGTCAAATGTCCCGCCTGGGCTGGCGCGTCTTCCGCCCTGGAACTCGGGCGTGGATGACATTCCAGGAGGAAGACTCAAGATCTGTGCATGCGCAAAAGGCAACGGGCTCCCCGTTGCTCTTGCTTCCGCCCTGAGTTGCTTTGTGGTGGGGAAAACGTGACTCGGGTGGAAGAATGCTGTGGAAAGACCAGTGTGGCGAGAGAAAGAACAGACAGGGAAAGAAACAATGTGCGAATCACTTATTCGTGTGTTTGTAGATATTTTCAAGGCATTCCGTTAGTCTGTAGCAGCAAAATGCCGCTTTAGAAGACAACCTTACTTTAAAATAGAGCTGCCAGATCTGAGCTGCGAAAGGCTGTGCATTTCCTGAGTTTCTGCTTTCACCTAAGGGTCCTTCCGATTTTTTTTAAAAGGCAATTCTGGTTCACCAATTGAGAATATCTTCCAAACTGAATACAGGTAGTCATCAATGTATGACCACAATTGAGCCCCAGATTTGTGTTGCTAAGGGAGACATTTGTTAAGTGAGTTTTGTCCCATTTTACTACCTTTCTTGCCGCAGTTGTTAAGTGATTCATTGCAGTTGTTAAGTTAGTAATGTGGGAAGTCATCCCCCCAGAGAAGAAAATATTAAAAGGGCAGAATATTATATTTCCTCAAAGGAGCTTAAACAGGCAGAAAAGCATGCCCAGTTTTTCCTTTTTTTTATTGAAAATTTTTTATTTTTTAAAACATACAATCATTTATAAAAATACAATAAAATTTTAAAATAGAGAAAACCCCCCCCTTACCCTCCCTCCCACCCCCAACCCCCCTCCCTTCACTTCCCAGAGCAGAATACAGGGTTAAAAAAAAAAATTATAATAATTAAGAAAAAAGAAAAAAAAAGAGAAAAAAATATCATAATTAACCTTTAACTCCATAAATATAAAACAATTCCCTATAATATTTGATATTCATTCATAAAATAAATGAAACTTTTTAATTCCATACTTTTTCTGAATATAATCTATCCACTTTCCCCATACAGTAATATATCTTTCTTGTGTATGATCCTTTAAATAAGCAGAAATTTTTGCCATTTCTGCAAAACTAGATACTTTAAATATCTATTCTTCTAAAGTAGGCAAGGAATCTTTCTTCCAATATAAACCTACTAGTAACCTTGCTGCAGTTAATAAATTCAACATCAAAGTAGTTTCTTTTTCATTTAAGTCAACAAAAATACCAAGTAAAAATAGTTGAGGAGTAAACTTTATCTTTTTTCTAAAAATCTTTTGAATGTTCCACCAAATCATAATCCAAAAAGTCTTTACTTTTTTACAGTTCCACCAAATATGAAAGTATGTCGCATCATTATTGCCACATCTTCAACATTTGGGCTGTATGTTGGAATACATACAAGATAATTTTTAGGATCTAAGTGCCATCTATAAAACATTTTATAAAAATTTTCTCTCAAATTCTGAGCTTGTGTAAATTTAACATTCCTTATCCAAATTGTCTCCCATAAATCCAATGAGATCGGCTCCTGTATATTCTGAGCCCATTTAATCATACAGTCTTTAACCAATTCTGTTTCCGAATCTAACTCTAATAAAACATTGTATATTCTTTTTATATGAGCCGGACCTTGGTTTTTAATCTGAATAACCAATTGTCTATCTTCTAGTGTTATTCCCTCTTTCTTGTCTACAGTCCATCTATCCATTATTTGTAAATATTGAAACCATGACTGTAGAATATTTTGCTGCCTTAATACATCTAGGGATTTCAAATGCCAATTCGAACCAGAACAAATTAACAATTCTTTGTACGAGATTTTATCAAAATCTGTCCCCTTAGAAGTTCCCTCAATTGCATGTCTGGGAATCCCCCAGATAGGTATTTTATAATTTAATCTATAATAATACTTCTTCCAAACACGAAATAAGGCATTCCTCAAAATATGTGATTTAAAAGTCCGATCAACTTTCTTATTAAAAATTAAATATGCATGCCAACCATATATTAAATCCCAACCTCCCAAAAAAAGAATATCCATATTTGTTAAATTAAGCCAATCACTTAACCAAGTTAGAGCGGCTGCATCATAATATAATTTCATATTAGGTGCCTTAAGTCCCCCTCTTTCTCGAGCATCCTGTAATATCTTAAATTTAACCCTTGGTTTCTTCCCAGCCCATATAAAATTATTGATACCCTTTTGCCATTCCTCCAAATTTGCCTCTTTTTTAAGAATAGGTATCATCTGAAACAAAAAAAGAAACTTTGGTAGAACATTCATTTTTACAGCTGAAATTCTCCCCAACAATGACAATTGCAATTTTTTCCAATCTCTTAAATCCTTTTGGACTTTTGCCCATAGTGGTTCATAATTGTTCTTATACAATTTTCCATTTGACTTAATTATAAGACTAAGATATTATCTAAGAATATGTCAGTTAAAGAAAGGGAAAGTTTGATTAAAGCCACAGGTTTTCAGATGGTAAAAAAGGTTAAATACTTGGGAGTATATCTAACTGCCCAGTTTTTCTTAATAGCCCCAAGTCTCCCTCCCCCAAGCAGAAATGCAGATGTAATAATCCATTTAGGAAGGTTGGAGCCCTCCAGCTAGAAGTTTAGGAAGACAAAGACACCTAAAATCTACATACCACACCCAAACTCTAGGATAGGACATAATAGGATTAACCACAGATGCCAAAGGGGTACACTCAGACTCGTCTAAGTCAAAGTATATGACACAGGAAATACAAAGCTTCAAACAGGAACAGGAAACGACTCCAAACAACAGCCCAAGAGGATATAAAACCCATTCCCTACTACATGTGCTCACTCTCTTTTCTTCCAGAGCCATCTTGCTCTCTGGCTCTCCTCTTCAAGAAACAACAACCTTCTTTCTAAAGCAGTTGCCATGTTTATTTATTCCTGACTTAATGAGCAGATATTAACATCAAGATTAACCAACAATCAAGAATCAAACAAAGCCCCAGTGAAGGAACTGTCAAACAAGCAAGCAATAAACAACAGCGCAATTAAGGAACCACCAAGACCACTCCCACCTACACCGAAGGGGAAGTCACAAGAATATAAAATGAGATCAAACCTCACTCCATACTAACACTGATGATGTTATCTAGTTTGGTAATGAAATATCTGCAAGAAAACAACCAAGCTCAGAGAACACCAAGGACCCCACAGTCAAAGCTTTTACCAGCAGTCTTCTGCCAATTATTTAGAAGAATATACAGGTAGTCTTCGACTTGCGACCACAATTGAGCCCAAAATTTATGTTGCTAAGTGGGACAGTTGTTAAGTGAATTTTTCTCCACTTTACACCCTTTCTTGCCACAGTTAAGTATATCACTACAGTTGTTAAGTTAGTAACATGATTGTTAGGTGAATCTGACTTCCCCATTGACTTTGCTGGCCAGAAGGTAGCAAAAGATGATCACGTGACCCCTGGATGCTGCAGCAGTCATAAATATGAATCAGTTGCCAAGCGTCCCAATTTTGATCACATGACATTGGGGATGCTACAATGGTTGCAGGTGTGAAAAACAATCATAAGTCATTCTTTTAAGTGTCGTTTTAACTTTGAACGGTCACTAAATGAACTGTTGTAAGTTGAGGACTACCTGTACAGGGTTTCATTTCCAAGTAAATCAATCCATGTTAGGGTGTAAAATTCTTGTTTTCAAGAAAAGAGAGTAAGTAATATTTCCTCATTTGCCTGAAAACCTGATGTAAGACTTCCTGAGTTTGTTAACAATAAGAGTGTGTATTACACATTTGTGTGATAAATTACAATACAGAGAGAGTAGGAGGTACCATCAGTACAATTTGGCTTTATTAAGAACAAGTTTCAAAACATCCAGTATAATAATGTTTTCATTATATAAAATGCATGGCAATACTTTGTGTTTAAACTATCAAAGGCATTTCTGTTACAGTTTCTGTATTCTAAACAAAAGAATATTGATCTAATACAATAATGTGGTAACTAGCTTCCAGATTTATTTTGGGTCATATCCATTTATGTGTTAATATGTAGAGTAATAAAACGTTATCTTATTCTATACTTGGTGCTAACATCAACACATTTTATAGGAATACATCCATGTAATATCTATATTTCATTGCTGGATATAGGGTAGTTACAAGCTTTAGAGTGTAAGCAGTCTTATTTATTTATAGTTATACTAAAGCCGATGACCTCACTTTCACCTCTCTGAAAATTGGATCCCTGAAGCTGCTATTGTCCATTCAAAAACAACAACTACATATTAACAGAAATAAAATGGGTCAACACATATAAATCAAGATAAATGAAATTGATTATAATAATTCTAGAGCTAGAACAAAACTATAAACAAGTGAATAAAATCAAGCCTTGCTGAAGAACACAGACTAGAAGGAAGAAAATGTCTTAAATTTCTGCAGCATAGCATTTTGCAGGTTTGCTACTACTGTGACAAAGAAGTTGCCTCTAGCTGCCCTATAGGAGGCAACTTAATCTATAGTATGGTGTACATATACATGATAGAAAGTAGAATCAGAACTTTTTAATGTAATCTGCTTAGAACACAATTGCTATTCTAGAAAAATGTAGTATCTTTAACATAATTTTAACTGTGTCTGGAGTTGTGAGTCAGATTGTACAAATAAATAGGTCAGAAGGTTTTTTTTAAGGTTGCTCCCTTGATCAAGTTTACAATCCTCTGTCCACTACCACCTGGGCATATTTAATTGTTTTTTTCTCAAAAGAGCCAGTTAAAGATAAATCAGGAATGCTTCATCCCTGCAGTGAAAAGCCAACTATTGATCGACTGAGAAGATGTAGCATTTTGGTGAGTATAATCTGTAAGCCTAAACATCCTGGGGCAAACTATATGCATTAATTAGATACAGTATTTCACTGGATCCCTTAAATTAAATGTACAAAGTGTATCT